CTGGCTATTTCAACAGCCCCCCAGCCTGCCGGAGCAGCCAGATCTTAGTGGCTTTGCGGAAGGCCGGGAGAGTAGTAAGTTAGCTCTCAACTTAATTATTTATGAAGGAATAGCATGTAACATTAAATTCTGAACATTGTTTTTGGTAACCACATGCCATAAAAATTTAATTTCGCAATGAACCATCTATATATTCTTTTCCAAGGATGTAACTTTGCAGAAAACTTCATCTGAGACACATTCTTCTCTTATCCAATGCAAAGGGTTTGCAAACTCACGATAAAAGTTGCTCAAAGTCCTTTCTTTTACAAGTTGCAACAGATTATCAACATTGAGCCTATATCAAGCTTCTAGGGTTGAATTGTACAAATGTGTTCTATTAGTACATAGCCTGAATGTTTGGCAACTTCATTCTTCAAGACAAATGGCAGCTGCTGCCCTTTGAGGTCTCAAGTCAAGTCTTTGGGGAAGCTCAAAGCCCAAGTGGGGAAGGGGGAGGCCTGTTCATTAGAGACTGCTCCAGGCTAAAACGTTCAAGGCAGACATTAGAAATGTATGTAAGACTATTTTTTAATCTATAAAATGTAGTGAAATGTAGGTAGTAAGTCCTTCCATAACCTTTTTTACGTTTATATTCATATTTGTATCCCAGTACTGATTTCCATCTAACCAACCATATTCCTATATCTACACAAAAGAAGCAATTATGCAACTGTGTTGGCATGTACACATATTATGCTATGAACCACTTTGTGACTAATAAATCCCCAACAGGCATACACACATTTTGTATGTGACATCTCATTTTCAATCAATGTCCATATGAAAGAACAGGGAAAATTTGGATCATTAGTAAATAAAGGAAAGGAAATCCAAATTCTGTGTGTCAAGGCACTCCCACCCCCCTCTCTAATGCTGTAAGAAAGAAACAATGAAATAAATGTTGAAGACAGTATTTTAAAAGGTATGGGATAATTCTATTAACAAATAAATCTACCTAATTTAAAATCAGATTGAGATAGTTACTATAAAGTGATGGTCAATATGCAAACAGAAGTGTTATGCATGCACACAAGCGAGTGTAGGAGTACGCCCAAACAGATAATGAAAAAAATGGCAACCCACCTCTGACACACAAACATGAACCATGCAATTATGATAGATGAAGTATTTGCTTCTTGAGGGCCACTGTAACTTTAGTACTAACAAAAATTGTTTAACAACAAACATGCTTGGTCAAAAAATGTAAAGGAAACAGTTTGGGAATGATTTATATCAATGCATAGTGCTGAAGTTAATTACAACTAACCCAATAAAATAAAGCTTGTATTATTATTATACAGCAAGTAATAACCTTAGACAGAGAAACCAGAGCTCTTTCTGCTTTTTGCATGCTCAGTTCCACAGGACACTAGGTTAAGAATTAAGTAAGTTGTAAATATGCCATACAGAAACAGCAGTCTTTAACCAAAAACAGAAAGCTCTCCTGTTGCTTAACCCATTTTATGCTACACAATAGTATGCTACACTATAGCATGCTACACAATACTATAACACCAGTTTATAGGAAGTAAACTTAGCCAAACTTCCTATAAGCTGGTTTTATACTATTGTGTAGCAAATTCCTGAAAATATCTCATTATAGAATTTAATTCTAATACACAATAAACTTTTACAAGTATTCCTCCACTTACAACTGTAATTGAGACCACAATTTTGGTTGTAAGTTGTGATGGTCATAAAGTGAATCATCATCAAGATCCCATGACTTTTTTGTGACAATCAGTGAATACCATGATTCTTAAATAAAAGCTGCAGTTGTTAAAGAAACTCATTGTTCACTATGGGGCGATTTTTGCCAGAAACAGAAAGTAACTTCCTGTTTTTGGCAGAAACTTTGTGAAATCATTGTCACATGATCACAGGGCATGGCAAACAACAATAAATGTGGCCAAGTTGCTGAGCACCCAAATGTAGGCACATGACCAGATGGGCAAGACATTGGAACTTTGAACCTGTTTAATTTTATGCAGCTGTATACAATTAACAGAACTAAAATTCTGAACATGAGGTTAAAAGTAACTGGACTCATATAAAATATAATAATTCTGATATTGGCCATCTAATGAGAAGAAAGGATTCACTGGAAAAGAGCCTAATGCTGGGAAAGATTGAGGGCAAAAGCCAGAGAATGAGGTGGCTGGATGGAGTCATTGAAGCAGTAGCATGAGCTTAAATGTACCCCCAGAGGATGGTAGAGGACAGGAAGGCCTGGAGGATGATCAGACACAACTTCACAACTAACAATTCTGATATGAATATTAATAAGGAAGACAGTACACTAATAAATGTATTTTTCTCTCAATTAATCATGTCCATAAAATATAAATGCTGAATATCATGAATCATGAATATTACTAAGACAAAACAGTGTTGTATCACAAGAGATGGAAAAGAGATTTATGCTGATCACATAACTAACCTTTATATAAATGTTATCTAGAACCAAACTTTTTCAGAAAGTAAGGTGAAGAACCTTAGTTAATGAGGCAGCAAACGAAAAGGTCCATGGAGGGAAACATAATAGATTGAATTCCAATCTCTTTGTTTTGCTACCTGATATTATAAAATATACTGTTTTTCAAATATATGCATGCATAAATGTGTGTGTGCATGTGCACAAATGCATGTCCATATAAAACCAGAGGCCATTTAGGCCAACATAAATTTTGATTTAATAAACCCAAATTGCTGGGGAGAATGATCTTTCTGAAAAGCTACACAATTGCATCATACTAATCAATAAAATGCATGTCTTTCAAGCATGACATTTTAAAGAAGAAATGCATGGTAAATTGGAACCAGATTTAGTGATTTTTTTAAAAAAAGATGGACTCATTAGAATCAATATGATTTAAGTCAGTCTGAATCTAATCCATGCATAATTTAGATAGACATAAATTAATGTGGAAATAGAAATATATAGCTCATAAACTCTAGGTCATTGTAAACTAAACAGTGAAATTGTTAGTAATGTATTATTGATTAATTGATTATGTGCTGTCAAGTCATTGTTGGCTCATAGTGACTACTTCCAGTAAATGAAAAATAGTGTATTATTTATATTGTCCCTTTTTGGATCTAGTATACATAGTAAACTGACACATGTGAGCAATATTTTCAGAACTAATGGGATAATTTGTTAATTTGGACAACCTCCAATACTTTTATGATAATACCAAAGAGCCAAACAAAAAGTGTAATGCTTCTGCTTGTTACAATTAATTGGAAAGTTAGTGAGACAAAATAGAATAATTTTCAACAGAGAATATTTTCGTAACACAAATGTTTCTTTAAAAAATAAAACTCAATCTATCAAGCAGAACATGTAAAGAGAAAAGATATTTCAAAATCATCCAAAATTACCAAATTCCACAAACCAGGTTTAAGGGAAGACATTTCTATGTAACCAATTCTTAATTCAGTCTATGAAAACCATAAAATATTTGTAGGTATAAAAGTAAACACTGATACATACATACATACATTCACACAAACACACACACACACACACACACACACANAAGACCCTTGCACCCCTAACCCTTTAGAAAAAAACCCCCAGGGGTGGTCAAACTTGACAGCTTTAAGACTTGTGGAGTTCAACTCCCAGAATTCCTCTTCTCGCTCTTCATCTTGATGATGGGCGGATGGGCGGGGGAGGGAGCTGGAACCAGTTCTAAATGGCACTGTAGATTTGTGGAACCTCTTCTATAGAAGAGGTTAGCACTGGCAGGAACCCACCCCTGAAATATATGTATTTCAACTATTCATTATGTAAGATTTTCATAACAATACTCTGATGAAAGTGAAGCCTTTTTTCCATGTGAAATTTTCAAGTAATTTCATTTATTCTTCAGCATTAGGATTGCTTTGTTTCCATGTTTTGGATTATAATTATCTGCTAGTGACTGAGAGCCAATACTGCTTTTTTTAATATGGTCATACTGGCTTACTTATTATACAAGACTTCAAATTATTTTAATTGAAAAATAAATTTCAAAATAGATTCTGCCACAATTATTTGTTGTAACACCCAATATGTATATTCATATAGGGACATAGTAGTGTTTTTTTTAATATATTTAAATAAATTTATAGTACTTTTACATGAACTGAACTGCATTAATAATAAACTTTTTTTAAAAGAAAAGGAAATTGCATGTAAATGCTTGAAGGAACATGGTTCATTTCCCAGGATTCAGTTGAAAGACCAAAAAGTCTTTTAACATTTATTTTAAAATAACCAAGGCCTTTTGTAAATCTGTAATTTAAGGAATAATGCAAATTGCATATTTAAAAGAGTTATGTATAAATGTGTATTTTTAAAAAAAATGCTGATCTGAAAAATACATCAATCCAATATAAGTTCTAGCTCACTAAGAGTGATGTATTAAGGTCTGTTAGTTGACAAACTATTGTATTTAAACCAAAGAAAATATGACCAAGCCCTTGTAACATACTACAATCAATTCAGAAGGTTTAAAGCAACGTGTATCTTCTAGAAACACATTATGATTACAAGTAAAAGCTAAATCTCAAACTATTGCCAGAGTATTCAGTTTAAAGAGTATTTAGATAGAAACTAGATCAGACCTAGAAAGTTAATTATCCAAAGGAATGTATAGCATATTATTAAATAAAAAACATTTGAAAACTTAATTGTAAGTGATCAGATGAGGTAAATTTGTATGGTTTATCATTACAAAACAATAATATTAAAGCAAAGATAAGGGTACATTTACGCTAACTAGGAAGTTACCTTCCTTCATTGACAAGTTCAATGAAAGCTAGACCTGCATTCTTCTGTATTGAGTTCTGCCATTCCTATAATACAAAAGTGATAAAAAAATAATTAAAATGCTTTAAAAGAAACACAATTGTTTTACTTAACTAGTAAACATAATAAAAAATTAAAATTAAAATTTTATGACAGATAAAAAAGATCATAAACCAAATACTAGAACTGAAAAATAAAACATAAGCTGAGTTCACTTATTGTTCTACATTATTATAAATTATTATAGCTAACTTCAACCATAAAAAAATGGAATATGGGGTAGGTGGCATATGAACCATTGTTTGTCTAATATGTATTCCTACATTTAACAAAGACCCTACATTTGATGAAATGTAAAAGCTGCAACTATTTCTGTCCTATTGCTTAATTAGCCTAATTACATGGAATATAAACATTCCCCAAAGTAATTTAACATTTTTCAAACTACATTTGATGCTTAGTTTTTTATTGTATTGCTAATATTATTGATGATAATAATATAGTAATTTCTTAATTTTTATCAGTAAGGATAATAATTCTAAGTGGTATAAAGTAGTAAAAGTCAATTCTATCATAATGCCACGATGAGATAATTGGAGACAAATCTTTCTAACAGAATTCCATCTGTCTTTAACAATGTATATTGAGAAAATGATTTAGACCACTATTTTCAAATGCTGGTTTGGGAATTCTGCAAGATAACACATCCTAAAATTGCCAACTTTGAAAAATACTGATTTGGATCATTCTCTATGGTATTGCACTCTACATGGGGCTGCCCCTGAAGAGTGTTCGAAGACTGCAGTTGGTCCAGAATGCAGCCGCACGAGCGATATTGGGTGTACCTAGATACCCCCATGTTACACCCATCCTTCGTGAGCTGCACTGGCTCCCTATTGGTCTCCGAGTGCGTTTCAAGTGCTAGTCGTTACTTTTAAAGCCCTACATGGTTTAGGACCTGGCTATCTGAGAGACCGCCTCCTGCCACATATCTCCCAACGACCACCTAGATCTCACAGGTTGAGCCTCCTCCGGGTGCCGTTGACCGGATAATGCTGGCTGGCGACTCCCCGGGGGAGAGCCTTCTCTGTAGCTGCGCCGGCCCTGTGGAACGATCTACCTATAGAGATCCAGACCCTTACCACTCTCCCAGCCTTCCGCAAAGCCACCAAG